TTTTCTATTGTTAAAGCTATCTAAAATACTAATTGCTATTTACGTAGCAGCCCTGATGATCAATAGTATATATTTTTATACAGCCTATGAAGTAAGTATCACACACACACACACACACACACACACACACACACACACACATTCTAGGTTTGCAGGCAAGGAAACATAAGTAGGAGACCAACTCCAGGTTAAGGCTCCTGGCAGAGAGCAGAGCGGAGACAGAGACTTAGACCTTCCTGCTCCTGAGCCCTGCCCAGAGCAACCCATTGTCCTCTAACTGAAATTCCATGAAACCAGAGTGCTGCTGCAGTTTTTCTTCAGGACTATCAAAGAGTCCAGGAATCTGTAAACTAGAGGACAGAGGTATTAAGAAAAAAAAAAAAAATGGCCAGGCATGGTGGTGTTCAAGGCCAGCCTGAACTATATAGCCAAAAACAAACAAACAAATAAAAAAAACCAAACCTTTTTGGACTTTCCTGTGACACTTGGTTTTAGATACTTGGATGCACTGTCGGAGATCAGTAAACTCCACTAGCCTGATGTTGTGTGTGGTTCAGATAGTGTCTCCTGTGAGCGCAGAGACAAGTCTTCTACATCAACAACACAGACAAGGGATGGCTCCTGCACACTCTGGGGTGGCCACTTTATGTCAGGGACATCTGGGTAATCACAGGACAAACCCAGAGGGCAGCAGTGCCGGCAGCCACCAGCTCTTTCCTGGAGCCTTTTGGAGTACGGCTTCTCACTTTTGGCTACTCCAGTCCTAGAAAGGAGGTCGGGTTCACCCCATGCAGGTCCTCTGCCAGCTCACTTAATCCTGTCACAACCCTGACAAGACGCGTCATCTTAGCCGGGGATTTAGCTCAATGGCATAGGGTCTGCCTGGCAAGTGCGAGGTCATGAGTTCGATCCCTGGTGTAAAAAGAAAAGAAATACTTTCAAAGATGGGTCATCTTTTTCAATTCATGTGTGCATCCATGTGTGCGTGCGTATGCTCATTGTACAAGCTGAGCACTGCTCTACATCTGAGCCAATCCCCAAGGTGGGTGCCCTTACCATGGAACCCACATCTGAACCTGGGCAGTTTATTCAGGGTTCGGAGTCCACGACCTTAACCCCTGCACCATGCTGTCCCTGCTTCCTGCCCTGCAAAGCTCTTCTCGTCCTCTCACGCCCTGCCCTCTTGATTTCTCTGCCTCTGGTGGTGAAACCCAGTGTTCCTCCATCCAGCACAGCAATGGGGCAAGGGGTGGTTAAGCAGGTACATGAAGTAAAAAAAGGAGAAAATGAACAACTTTGGAAATAACTTGACATTTATAGTAAAAGCACTTTGACTCATGTCCCAAGCCAGGGGTGGCTGTGCACACCAGTAATACCAGCACTCTGGAAGGCTGAGGCAGGGGGATTGAAAGTGCGAGCCCTGCCCTGGCATTTTAGTGACTTCCTAAAATAATGTTTCAAAACAAGGAATGGAAGGGCTCCAGTGGTGTAATCAGTTAGTACGCCATACTTACACAAAACAAAAACAGAGCTAGGGTGTTGGAAGCCTGTAATCCTAACACCTGGAAGGCTGAGGCAGGAGGATCACCAAGAGTTCAAGGCCATCCTGGGCTACATAGTGATTTCAAGACCAGCCTGGACTACATAGCAAGACCCTGATTCAAAAGTAAAAAGAAAAAAAGTCTGGGAGTGTAGCTCAGTGAAAAGGTCTTATGTTCAATCCCTAGCACCACAAAAGGAGACAAACTGATACACTCATATAATCAAGAGGACCCTAAGTGTGGTATGGTGTCCCAGATGAGATCCTGGGACAGAAGAATAACATTGGATAAAAACTAAGGTAATGTGCATGCAACAAAAATCTGCACTATTATTCACTTTACTAACACAGGGTTTTTACTTGTATCAACTATACGCGTTACAATAAGGTAGTAATAATAGGACTTTGGCTTTTTTTCAGGGAGGGATTGAGACAAGGCCTCACTATGAAGCTCAGGCTGGTCTTAAACTCACTCTGTAGCCCAGGCTGGACTTGAATTTATAGCAATCCTCCTGCCTCAGCCTCTTAGTTTCCGAGTATACAAGCTTATGCCACTATACCTGGCAGGCTGTCCTTTAAAGATAGCAATAACAGGGGTAACTTGGGTGCAGGGCTATATAGAAACTGCAATTTTTTGTAAATATAGAATAATTCTTTAAAAAGTTATTTATTGTTAGGTGTTTCAAGAGCGCACATCTGTAATCTCAGCACTCGGAGACCGCGGTGGGAGGATTGCTTCGAGTTTAAGACCAGCCTGGGCTAAATAGTGAGTTCAAGGCCAGCAGGTTTATATACTGAGACCCTGTCTCAAAAGAAAAAGTTGTTTACTTACTTATCTTTATTTATTGTTGCAGTGCTGAGGCTAGAACCCAGGACCTCACACAATACTAGGCAAATGTTCTACTACAAAGATACACTCCAGCCAAAACTGTTTTCACCGTTCATGTTGCTGTGCTGGGGTGGGCTTGGAGGCCTCTATAGGCCCTAATGTCCTCAAGGCCTGAGCCTGAGGCACCTGAGCATCCCTTTCAGAAGGCTGCAGGTGTGGGTCACCTGCAAGCACAGGTATCCTAGAAACCAGGGATGGGCTGAGAGCAGGTCCCAGGGACTGAGGGCAATGTTTCCCAGATTCCCTGCTTAGTTAAGAGGCTGCGAGCTGGGCAAAAACAGGTTCAAGTCACACCTCCCAGGGCCTCCTAGTCCTAAAGGCAAGCAGCAGCCTACAGAAACAGGGTGGACTGCTGGTGGTGTAAACAAACAGTTCTGCACGCTGGCAACCAGCAAAGAGAAATGTAAACTGCCCCTGGTGTTTTCCTCTCTCCTCTTCCCTCCTGCTTCCCTTTGCCAGGCAATTACAGGAAACCACTTCACCTCCATCACCCATCCAGTTTCAAATCAGATTTGTTCTTTTGTCCCAATGAGCTCACTTCAGAGCCCCAGGAGTACTGCCCAGGCCCCTGGCCTGACAGCCAGCCTAAGACACAGCCTCTACTCCAGGGCTCTGCACAGCAGGCAGAGCAGTCCAGGGCCCTCTCTGAGCTTCTGGCCCCTCTTTCTACCTCCAAACCTGCCTCCTCAGCAGAAGAGATTACATGGCAGGTATTAAAAGCTGTTAGAGCAGAGTGGGTGGGGAAAGGGGAGGATTTTCAGAGCCCAGATGGTACAGGCCTGGCACCTGCAGTGCACAAGACACAGCTGCCCACCCACCAGAAGGGGCCCTGATCCCCTCTGCTCACTTGGCACTGACCCCTTACCTCTAGCCAAAATTATCCCCAGTGCACTCTCACAGGGCTATAGACTGTGGCCACCTGTGCAGGGGCTGGGTGCCAAGATGGGGGCAGAGGTGAGCAAAGGATTATCAGCTAAGCCAGGTGGGATGGAGATTTTCACAGCTGAACTGAGGGTGGAACAGAGTGAGAACCAGGGGTGGGATGGGCAAGCAGCTGGGTGAATCTGCAGAGCCGCCGGGATGGAGGACGTCTGAGTATACACTCAGCTTAGGGTCCAGCATTAAGAGAAGCAAAGGTCAAGTTTGTGATTTGCCTCTCTCTGACTCCAAAGCTATTCCTAAGTCACTCTTTCCAGAAAGGGGAAAGTGCTCATGCAGCAATGGAGTATGGAGCAGGGGATCCAAGGGAAAATGGGGCCACCCTCCCTGGTGAGGAACAGGGAGATCCATGTGGCTTGTCATTTGCAGGGAGCAGCCTTCTCGTAACTGAAACCCCTTGAGTGAAATCTCTGGAAATCTCTATACTCCAGGTGTTACCTCTGGGGAGGTTAATTTAAAAAAACTTGGGCGAGGCACGGTGGCACACGACTGTAATCCCAGCGCACGAGACTGAGGTGTGAGGATCACTGCAAGTTCAAGGCCAGCTTGAACTACACAGTAAAACATACACCAAAAAGCAAGAAGGTGCTTGGCCCTGTGAGGGCTCCCTCTCCATAAGGATCAGAACTTCCGTTGAATAAAGTGGTCACATCCCTACTATGGAGAACCTCACGGCAAAGCAGAGTTGGAAGCTGAGCCTGCTAGTGCTCCGTAATCCCAGCACTCAAAAGGCTGAGGCAGGTGAGTTCAAGGTCAGCAAACACTACATAGTAAGACTCTGTTTCGAAAGGAAAAACCCACGAGGGCGTGCGTGTGTACATGCACTCATGCGTGCGCGCGGGCAGACACACACACACACACACACACACACACACACACACCCCAAAACTTGAGATGTGCTATTTAAAGTTTTCTTCACAACGGGCGCCCGGGAGGGGGTGCTCTCTTATCTTACCCATCACCTGAGCGCCTGAAGAACTGAAGGAGTGGTCCCGTGGGCTAAAAGAGGCCACACCTTCCTGCTCTTTGCAAACCTAGTTCTGGTTGTGTCTGTGTGTGACTCCCACCCTAGGCTCCTCAGCCATGTCGCGTGGACAGGTCTTGTCCCCCAGCCAGCAGCAGTGCCTGGCTCCTTCCTCTTTTCGGCCCCTGTGCTGGCGACTAGGGAGCTCTCTTCCTCACCTGGCCCCTGCACAGACATCCGTTTTCTTCTTTCTTAGATTTTTCTGTTACTTTGTTTTTAGTTCCCACTTAGTGGCAGTATCTGTTAACAGTACATAATAATTACATTCATCTTAGGGAATTGGTACATATCCATATTGAATCTCAATCATTTCCGCTTCCTCTTCCTCTCCCCTCCCCCCAGTCTCCTCTCACCATCCTTCAAGTTCCCCTTCCTGTGGGAGGCCCACAACTCCTTTAGCATTTGTTAGTCACATGTCATTTAACACACAGGCTTTCTGTTTAACAGAACAGAAACCACCTCCATTACATGTGTGTGTGTATGTATGTAAAGAAACAGGGTCTTGGCCTGGGGCTGTAGCTCAGTTGCAGAGCACTTGCCTAGCATGTACAAGGCCCTGGGTTCCATCCCCAGTATCACAGACACACAAAAAGAGTGTGGTGGCACACCTGTAATCCCAGCACTCATGAGGCAGAGGCAGGAAGACTGCTGCAAGTTTGAGGCCAGCCTGGGCTGTAGTGGGTTCAAATGTAGCCAGAACTATATTGCAAGATCCTGTATCAAAAAGACAAAGGGGAGAGAGAGATAAAAATAGGTTGGACTCCTGGGCTCAAAGATCCTCTTTCCTCAGCCCCCTAGCAGCTGGGGTCATAGGCATTTGCCACTGTATATGCTTCACCTGTATTTTAAAATAACCTTCTGGGGAGTTTGGCGTGCAGCCCGGGGAACCTGGGACCAAAAGTTCCCATTCAAGTCATGTGACCCTGGGCAAGAGCTTTGATAACCTCAGCATTCCCCTCATTGCTGAAGTGCTGAAATGATCACATTTTCCTCAAACAGAGCCCAGGATTCAGTGGAAAGGGTCTGGAACTGATTGGGCAGTCACTGAAAGGGTATAATTCTTATGGGGTGAATGCCTGTAATCACAGTACTCAGGAGGCTGAGGCAGGAAGATCATGAGTTCAAGACCAGCCTGAACTACATAGTAAAACCCGTCACAAAAGAATCAATAATAGTAATAATCCATCAACCCCTGAAAGCTACAGGAAAGGACAACTTGAGTGACAACTCAAGTTGGAATACCACTCTTTCCTGGGCCCCACTGGGCCTTGTCCTATTCTTTCAGAGTCCCTATGGAGCTCTCTGGAGCCTGGAACATGGCTCTCCAACACTGGCCTTAGAGGTTCTAGTCATCTGCTTGGGAGCTGTTCAGGCCACCAACTCAGCACAGGTACAGGGCAGTGAAAGTGCCAAGGAGCGACAGTCTCTGGAAGCAGCTTGCAGCTGGCAGCTGGCAGATGAATGAAAACTTTGAGGCCTGTTCTGCACCGTCCCTCAGAGGTCCCAGGGCAGCTGGAGTAGCTCACTTGATCCTGTACTCTCTATGGGCCTTTTTCCTTCCTTACCACAGCCCTTTTACTTCTCCACATTCCTGTTAGTGTCTCCTAGGACCCATCCCAAGCAAGATACAGATGGCCCCTGACTTAGAATGCTTTTGCTAAGTAAAGATTGTTTGGCTTACAATGGTATGAAAGTGATATTCATTCAGCAGAATTTGTACTTTGATTGATGGCTGGCTAGCTGGATTTTGGTCCTGCAAGTTGAACCCATGGCCTTTGCATCGAGCTACATCCCCAATCCTTTTTAAACTTCATTTTATGAGACACAATCTTCTTGCTAGTCATTAAGTTGCCCAGGTTGAGCTTGAATTTGTGATCTAGTACTCCTGCCTCAGCCTCCCAGGTTAGTGGGGTTACAGAGGTACATCATCACGCCTTAATTTGTACTTTGAAGTTTGAAGTTTGCTCTTTTTCTGAGCTAGCAATGTGCCACATGAAAATCTCTTGTGATGCAGGGATGGTGGCACATGTCAGTAAGTCCTGAGCTCCGTGGGCAGAGACAGAAGGATCGCCATGAGTTTAAATCTAGGAAAATCCTGTCTCAAAAAAAAATCTCTTGTGATGCTGCGCCACCGTGAGTCATAGCACCAGACCTGTCCCTCAATCATGAGAGTGATACTTAACAGTAGACTATGCTCGATAAAAACGAAAAAGACAAAAAAAAAATATTTAAAAAAAATGGGTTAGGATTTAGCTTATCGGCATAAGGGCCTGCCTTGCAAGTGTGCGATCGTGAGTTCGATCCCTGGTACTAATAAAAACGAAAAAGACAAAAAAATATATATATATAAAAGAAAAAAAACAGTAGACCATGCTGCCCAACTGTGATATTTAGTTAGGTATATTAAATGCATTTTCAATCCATAATATTTTCAACTTACAATGGTTTCATTGGGATGCAATTCATCATAAATTGAGGAGTATCTATACAGTACTTGCATCCTTGTCTCGAGATTGTTTCTGGACTTGCTTATTTGTTTGTTTGTTTATATGTTTGTAACAGGGTTTCAGCAGTCCCAGGCTGAACCTCAAATTTGCAGTTATCCATGCTCAGCCTCTGGAGTGTTATAAAGATTGCAGGTATGGGCTATGGCTTCAGGATTACTTTTGGGTAAATTCAAAGATAAATTCATTTAAACCAAGATTGGTGACACATGTAATCTCAGTACTCTGGGAAGCTGAGGCAGGTAGATCACAAATTCGAGCCCAGCCTGAAATAAGTCACTAGACTTAGCAAGACCTTGTCTCAAAAAACAGTGAAGGGGCTGGAGATATAGTTCAGTGCTGAAGGTCCTGGATTTAATCCTCAGTACTGGGAGTGGGGGGAAAGAGACACTTGCCTGCATTAAGGCCAAGGTTTGCTGTATTTGTCTTTTTTTTTCTTTTCTCTCTTTTTTTTTTTTTTTTTTGAGACACAGTCTTGCTATGTCACCTAGATTGGCCTCAAACTCACAACAATCTTCCTGCCTCAGTCTCCTGAGTGCTGGGATTACAGGCGTGTAACACCACGTCTGGTTGTGTTTGTCTTTCTTTTATTTATTTATTTATTTTTTTGTCTTTTTTCATTTTTATTGGTACCGGGGATCGAACTCACGACCGCCTGCTTGCAAGGCAGGTGCTTTTGCCGCTGAGCTAAATCCCCAGCCCCCGTGTTTGTCTTTCTATCTCCAGAACCTGATACACACTATCTGGGACATAGGAGGGTATGTTGATGAATGAAGAAAGCTGTGGAGGTTCTGTATTCCTCCACTGAGTCATCCTCTGCAGAGGAATCTAACCACGTTTGGAACCTTTAGTTAATAGGAATTAATGGTGATTTAGTCAGCGTTCATGGTTACAAGTGACAGAAACAGACTCTAGTTAACCAAAGAAGCTTTCATGTGTGCATGTGCGCAAGAACAAGTGTGTGGGTGTTGGGGGTAGAGGTGGCTTCCAGAATTGCTTGAGGCTGAAGAGCACCAGGTTTGGGGCAAGCAGGAAGCCAGAGGGCTTGGTGGCCCCATTCCTAGTGGCTTAACGTGTACAGGCTGATTGCTAGGGAAGCAGGACCTTGATCTTTCTCACCTATTCCAGAGTCAGCATCTTGAAAGAGAACCCTGACTAGGCCAATCCAAAGTCACATGGCAAGGCACAGGGCAAAGCAAGGAGGTGCCCATACCTTCAGCTTCCACAGAGAGGAAGTGACCGTACCCACCTCGGGGACCACAAGAAAGCACCTTTCCAGGAGAGGGGTAGGGTATCAGAACCACCTCACTAAATGGGGTGGGATGGGACCTCCAAGAAATGCAAATGTTCCCTGCTCTTTCTTGATCTCTGGATCACAGGGCAAAGTTTAGACTGAGTTACCACCTTCTGCATTCCGCGTCCTCCAACCTCTATGCGCTCCCTGCCCGACTTGAACTGCTCTTCCCTTTTCTCTGCCACTGGTGCGCTCCAGTCTCTGACCTTCAGCCCTGGCCATTGCCACCTCCCCCCGAGGTGTCCAGCTCCAGAACTCCTGCCAGGTGCCCAGTGCAGACCAATGCTGCTCTCTGCACCTCTTGCACTGAGCATAGGATACACCTTCTCCGGAGCCCCTGTGAGAGCCCGTGACCAACCTGTTTCCATTCTAGGCTCCAAACTCAGCACCAGCTCTTTCTCCCCAGGCTTTCTTTCCTCTCTACTCCAACTCCACCCCTACTGGCAGAGCCTTCCTGGCAACTACTCAGTGTGCTTTGTGCCCACCCTTCTATCATTTCATTCCCATTTGAGTCTACGCTCACATGCAAATACTTAATGTGCCGGCCATGTCCTCCTCCAATCACTGCTTCTGCAAGTTCCTCCTCTTTCCTGGCAAACTCTCTAATCGCTCCCTGGGCCCTCTGGCTACTACCCAGTGGCCTACTTTCATGTTACCCTTCATGAGCAGTCAGTGACTGAGGAAATGACTGTTCTCGAGGCTTGATTCCAGACACGGTGGAGAAATGAGCACATGACAGACTCCAGCTTCAGGAGCTGACTCCACTGGAATGAGAACAACATACACTTACACAAGATCTGAAAACACAAGAGAGCATGCAGGGAGTGCCAAACTGGGTAGACGGGTCTGCCATGCTGCAGGAACTCAGGGGGGCTGTAAGGAAGGTGTGGTATGGGGACCCCTCAGTTCATGAACTTCATTCTTTCCAGAATTCCGGTCTTTCCAACTGAGTTGGACCAGAACCGAATCAAATTCAACAGTGAGGTTCAATGTTGGGGAAATTTGATTCAGTTCTCATTCAGTTCTGTTGGCAACCAGAACGGTGGAGAGAATTGAGTTTGTGAACTGAAATACCACTGTGCTGGAGTTTGGAGGCAGAGCACATAAGGAGGACAGAGCCTGGAAAAGGAGACTTCCTGTCTAAAATATAGAGAGTGGGAGGTCTCTTCCAGAAGTCCAGGTATCCAGGGTATTTGGCCACGTAATGAAATTCAAACCCACACTTTGTGTGCGGATGGTAAGGGAGATTGAACCAGAGGCCTTCACACCAAGCCACATCCTCAGTCCTTTTCATTTTTTAATTTTGAAACAAAGTCTTCTTAATTTGCTAAGCTGCCCAGTCGGGGGTCAAACTTGTGATTCTCTTGCCTCAGCCTCCCAGTGTGCTAAGATTGCAGGCATGCACCACCAGATTTGGCTCAGAGATGATATCGAGTTGTTAGAATAAATGAGAATCTCAGGGGAGAAAAGAGCTGAGGACCAGGAACTAGAATTTGCAGAAAGCAGAGGCTGAGTCAGGAAGAAGCAAAACTCCTGTTTATGGGTCAGCAGGGGCCTGTTTCAGACTGTAAGCTCTCCTTCCTGTGTGGGGACCCTGTGGGCAGGCCCTGCATTTACCTAAATCCACACTGACCTCTGGAACAACCCCAGCTTCCTGTGATCCTCCCACTGCTTCTCAATGCCACCACTCCTTCCACTTTTGTGGGCTGAAGAATGTGGAGAGAAAACCAGAGGTTAAGAATGTTGAGGAGCTGGGGATATAGCTCAGCAACACAGTGCCTGCCTGGCAAACATGAGGTTGTAAGTTTGATTCCTGGCACCAAACAACAACAAAAAGAATCAAAAAAAGAATGGGAAGAACACAGCTTCTCAAGGAGAGAAAGGAATTACCTCCTGTATGCCTGTCTCAGTGTGGT